CTGTGTTGCTAGTAATTTGTGCTGACGATAGAAATATAGGTCTGAAATACAGACAGACCCTGTAATTGATAAATCTATTTGGTAAAATGTTCTTTGCGTCTTTTTTTTCCAAAATAAAAACCAGAGAATCATGTACTGATAAAAGTTTTTTCATGCTGTGGAGCAAAACATGAAAATGTTGCCTCCTGACATTATAGGGTATGCACAGATACGTGACTTTCATTAATGCTGCTTGTGATTATATAGCATTTTAAAGTTTTAAATTGTATATCAGTCATTGTTTTACACTTTGAACATTCTTTTTTTTAACTTAATTGTCTTTCAGATTTTTAAATCGAGGTCTCTTTGGCAGCACATTTTTTCTGTTGCACTCCTGACATGGTATGACATTTTTTTCAACATCAGCCATGACCACAACTTGGTCAAACAAAAGTTGCTAAAGTCTACATGTAAAGCTCAATACTTTAAATATTATCAGGAAAGTCTTGATTTCCAACATAAACCATTATTATTTATTTCACAGATCTTCACAAAATATTGAATTTTCAAAATGTCACAAAAAGTTGTTGCACTACTGACATTTTTAGCATCATTTTTGAGACTTTTTGTGACTTGAGATATCAATGAGATATTTGGCAGGTATTTAGACACTATCTAAAGACATACGCTGAGACATGGAAAATTATTCCCATTGCCTGTATTTTTACTGCAGGTTGATAAATAATTGGCTGGTCTTCTTTTTAATTCATCCATCTATAAGTTTTTTTTGTATTGGAAACTTGGGAAAGACATATAATATTGTTCATAAAATACCCTCTATATATAGACATGGAAGACAGAACAGACAGTTGGACGGCATGGAGATATAATTATGATCTTTGAAAGTTGACAGCATTCGTTGTTATTGATTTTCAAATAAATTATTGTACTTAAATATAGAAAGAACTATATACGGTAAGTGTAACAACTGGCCCCTTAAAATGAATATCTTAATTTTACTTTATATATAGGTTTACTTTGTAGAGCTCTACATGTTGTCATTTATTCATGATTTTCAAATTGATCAAAATGCTATTAATTTAGAAATACATGTATGACATTATGAAGTTCACCTTTCCCAGCCATTTTAGCAAATTTCGTGTAAAATTGCTTATATTCAAGCAGTTTTTCTTCCAGGAAATATTGAGCGCAATCTTGAACAAACTTTATATTTTCACCAAAGATGTATCTATCCAAGACTAATTACTGACAGAAAAATTTTGCTTGTTCTAAGCTGCGCTCTATGTATTGAAAAATGTTCAGAAAAAGACACATTTTTGTCTAATTTTGATTCAATTGCAAAAACAGCATCATTTCCAACATCATTTACAGCCAGTGAGTGCATAAAAATGAGACAAATATATTAAGAATATCTCCAACATAAACTCTTCTACATAATAAAAAACAATGTAACACACCTGAATCACATTTGAAAATTGTTGATTTATGGGGGCCAAAATTGACTCTTATCATATATATAATAATTTTTTTCTTAATTTTATATGTATTTGCTGTATTGGACAAAAAAATCACAGTTTATAATATAATATTAATGAAATTGAGAGCGCAATGTCTTTGCCATGTTTGATAATAGGAAAAAACATTTTAATTCTATTAAAATAAAAACCTTTATGGATTCTGATAGTGTAGGACTATTTTATTGCTAGGCGCCTGTGCAAGCGTTTCCCCCTAGGAGATCCCTTTATTTCTGTCTTACCATTAAGGGCATTCGCGCAAGATAACATCAGTCTCCATCGTTATTTTTCGCTGTTATCATGGTTTTTAATTTTCTGTTGGTTGTTTATGGATATCAAATGGGATATACAAGTCCTGATATACATTCAAATTCCAACCTTGTGTTTTCATTTGTGTCAATCAAAGCACCGCCGCATCAGGTATCCTTAAAGTAATATTTTGTCTTTTTATTCATTCATTTCTCTGGTCTTTCGACTTTTTTGAACATCACAGGCAACTTTGCCACATATGTTCCACATATGTGTATCATTTGTGAATCATTTGATTGATTTCATATTAGTGTACTGACTATCATCAATTTCATAGAAAAGTTAACTCTCTTGTAAATGCACATCCTTTATTGTTTAGTTTCAGTGGCAGCGATGTGATGTGATTTACTGTAAATACATAGAAAACATGTATATAAGTATTTGATATTACACATAAGCCACACACTCAGCGATTGACAAATTAACATCATTCTAATTATTAAATATATGCTCTACGTTCTTTGTAAACAACATTTTTACAATAAACATTGCACATGTACCCTAGTAAATTAGCACATATGAAATTATATTACTATCAAAATCACACGATTTCAAATGAATCACTAGAAAATAGTCAAACAAAATATATGATTATTGAAGAGCGCACGTGCACCAAATAATTTCATTCAAAAATCACAGCAAATCTTTAACTTTCAATATCACATTATAAATATCAACCTATTATGACATAAATTCTCTACTAGTCATCAAATCATATATCTTTCATGCGAACTTTCTAACATGTCACTAAAAATTACACCTTAAAGAGGCTGGGGGGTTGTGGCCATTTTTAGACTATATTGATCTCCTTTAGAAGAAGAGCTCCATATGAAGATATAGAAAATGATCAAATTTTAAAACTAAAATTTTTGAAATTTTTCTTTGCCAAATGATAGTTGACAGCTTAAGATATCATATCTAAAAAATTAAGTTAAATCTGGTGGTTAATTTGTGGTTAATTTGTTGACCCCCCAGCCTCCTTAACGGGTGAACAGTGAAAATCTTTGTAAACATATAATTGATAACAATTATGCACGTAAAAATTTCTTAGGAAACAATATACAAATAGATTTTATGTTTAACTTACCAACTTAGAAGTTTTTTCCCTGGGGAAAACTGAAGACAAACATGATAATCAGCACAGTGACTAGTAAACACTGGTAAACAATTTCTGAAGTTCTAAAAAGCTCGTGCACCCGTGCAAATTGTAATATTGGAACCAAATCCGGAAAAATCTAACAAATCCAAAAACCAAAAATGTTTTGTATAATGTTAAATTTGCTATAACAATGAGAATCATAAAAAAGGCATCATATGCTCCACATATGATTCACATGTGTGGATCATATGTTGCAAAATTTCCTATGTAGTTTTAAAAAATCCCACTGTGATTCGTATCAGAAAAACCGTATCATCAGGTTTTTCCATGAAATTCATGGCTTCTTGATTGATTTCAATGTCAAAAGAAGAACAACTATCAAAGATTTGAATGAACAATAATTATTTAAAGACATTACAAAGGTTTTAGAATGACACATTTGTTAGAATTTTAATATCAAAGGAATATGATGCATTGCCATTTTGTTTATTGTATTTTTTTGCTTTTTGTTTATATTCATCTTAACTTTATTTAACAGCGGTACAAAAGGGAGCTCAGGAAGGTTATTATCTGATAATGGCTTAGATTTTAAGTACAATCTCTCGTTTAGTCGAATGTTCAGTGACGTCTTTCATACAAATTTTTACCAGTATTTCCACACTGAATTGTCCTACAGATTTTTCCGTTTACCCGATCGCAGCCATGACAAGGAGCACGCTGCGGGCGTGACTGGTCGACAGGAGATGTTTACTCCTCCATAATACCTGATTCCACTTCTGTTTTCAGAGGTCCATGTTGGCTCTTTCATAATTTGTATTGTTTAGCCTAATGCATTTTAAGAATTCGAATGATCCTTGTTCGTTATCTTCCTATTTTTAAAGTACCTATAGCAGGCCTTCTGGAAGGATTAATTCTAGACCTGAAGTACAATACTTGTTGCAGCCATTATGGAAGTTCAGTTCATAATCAATGTCTCCAATGCAAACATTAGTCTGGAAAATTTCGTTCATGAAATTGTGTGCAAAACAGCAAAAGCCATGGACGTCATATGCAATAATCTTTCTGAGGTTGACGTATTGCCCTTTTTCTTATATACTTAATACAAGTATCTTATGTTACATTCTTTGTAACCGAGTGTTTGAATGAAACAAAAACTTTTTTCAGTTTCATTCAAAATTACTTTTTAAAAAAAAATATCAAACATATCTGAATAAAAATATCGCTGTTGATGTCACCAGAATGAAAAAAAATAATCTATTCTTTCATATATAGTTATTTTTCTTTGAAAAGATCAATCTTTTTAAATAAATGCACAATGCCATACACAGTACAATTTTCTATTTTTCAAAAGAAATCACGCAAAAGGAACCAGTTGGACATTAAAAAGTTAACTGAACACTTAAAACATACACTTCTATATGTCTTTTTCAAATGCCACATTTTCCAAAGCGGTATGAGGCCACTGTTGAATATCACATTAGCTGTATTTGACAGATACGATAAAGTTTGGTATTCAAGCATTTGAGGAAGTCAAAGAAATTAATACAGTAAGCCTCTGAACTTTAAAATAACCTACGATTACAGTGTGACAATTGTGATACGTGATATTTATCTACTTTTCCTGACGCCTAAACTACTTGGCGGTTTTTAGATTTTTGGGCGTTTTGGAATCTTGTGGTCACCTATATGAACTTAATGTCGTAGGAAGTTCTGGCTCTTGAACTTGATTTTCTTCTTTTTTTCACCTTTCCTTGTTCTTTTTTGGGGGGTGGGGGGGGGTCCTCTCGTTTATTTATTTATTTTTTTAGGATGAAATTAAAAGTACCATATAGTTGATCATCATTTCCATACTTATCTATCAATTTTCAGTTCCCTTTTCTAATATTAAAATAATTATCTTAAATATCACTTTAATTTAAAACATAATCTTCCTACACCAATACATAGCACTTTCTCTCTACAAAAATCACCTACACCAATTGAAATGCTTAGTTCAAATTAACAACATTTAAAAGGGAGTTTGAAAATGTCTAGGGAATACTTTCAGTAACAGCTTTTGTGAAGTAGATAGTGTAATCATGAAACCAGTAAAGATAGTGTTTATGGGTGACGAAGAAGTTGGAAAGACAAGTCTCATCCATCAGTTCCTGTACGGTGTTTTTACTGAGAGGACGCCAGCAACTCTTGGACAATCCTATCACGAAACGGTCACACTTCCCGGTAAGTATTTATTGTACTCATTAACAATGGCTATGAGAAACTTAACTTTTTTACATTCTCAGGTGTAGACGCAAAATTATATTTGTTTTCTTCTTTGCAGATGGTTTGCATCAAATAATAGAGATTATGGACACAACTGGGCTACAGGAATTCCCAGCAATGCGAGAAATGTACATCCAAAATGGAAACCACTTCGTCGTTGTTTACTCAGTGGAAAGCCAACTATCTTTTGTAACAGCACAAAATATTTGCAACGATATTCGAAGAATAAAGGGTAAGTTACATTATAAGACAGATTTGACGGAAGCTTCCTGTAAATATGGCTAAAGATATTTATTTTTAAAAACCTTATCTTTGATTAGTCCCGTTCCTCTCTTCATTACAGATGCATTCCGTTTTTTTAAGTAAAATCTTATTTTTGTCTTACAGGACTCAATTTTTCAAACATCGTATTAGTAGGCAACAAAATAGACAAGGGATTATCAAGGAAAGTTTCAACAGAGTTAGCTTTCAAAATGGCTGCAGTGGAAATGAAAATTTGGTTTTTAGAAGCAAGCGCCTATTTAAACTTAAACGTAGACTCTATATTTCATTCAATCCTGAAAAAATCTGCAAACTTTATGATTCAAAGTAAATTACAAACACAGCAAAGACTTAGGATCTTCAGTGATTCTGAATTCAAATGCAACAAAACCAAATCCATCGTTATCAAGACTACAAGAAAACTTGTCTGTAAATCAGCATTCTCAATGATACGTTAGCCTATCAATATTATGACTATAAATAAACAAATATAAACCTTACTTTTCTTTTTATTTTTTTGTATATTTTTACAGCACATGTACAGTTTACTGAGTTTAATCTACAGTATATTGTTTCACCGTATATCCTTTTCTGATAAAAGCACCATGAGTCTAACATGAGAGAAAAAAAAAACAATCAAAGCATCTTAAAGAGTCTGCTTTGAAGCATATTGGAAATTAGCATTATGAAGTACAATTGTTGACATTCCATTGAGGGTTTCCTTCTCCTTTGATAGAACCCTCTGTTATAAATACTGTTATTTTTATGCCCCTGTAATCGAAGATTGGGGGCATATATGCTCTGTGTGTCTGTTTGTCTGTTATTCTCTTTGTCTGTATATCTCTTTGTACGCAAAAACTTTAACCTTGTTCATAAGTTTTGAGTGGTTAAAGTTATCGATTTCATATTTCACATGCGTATTCCTTGTGACAAGGCCTTTCTTTAGGTACAAGTATATTTGAATTTTCAATCTTGACCTTGGAATTTGACCCACTCTTGCAAAATTTTACCGAACTTTAACCTTGACCATGACTTTTGCATGGTGGGAGCTTGGGCTTTCATACTTAATATGTGAATTTCTTTTGTAAAACCTTTTCTTTGCGAATGAATATTTTTGGTCATTTGACCTTGACCTTGGAGTTTGACACTATCTTAATAAAAAAAACTTTAACTTTGGCTATAAGTTTTGAATAGTGGGAGCTAGGGCTTTCATATTGCACATGTGTAAACCTTGTGACAAGACCTTCCCATGGGTACCAACAATTTGACCTTTTGACCTTGAAGTTTGACCCAATTTTGGAAAACTTTAATCTTGGTAATAAATTTTGAATGGTTGGTGCTAAGGTTTTCATGTTTCACAGGTGTATTCCTTTTACTAAAAAAAGATGTTAATGGTAATCTAACAACAAAGCTTTATGGTAAACGTGATGACTTTAACTTTGCAACTTCCCTTACTTATGTAGCAATATACCCTTATCACCTGCATATGGGGTGTATATCTCTCAGTTGATTCGATACGCAAAAGCATGCTCTACGATTGAACAATTTCTAAACCGAGGTAAGTTATTGACAAACAAGTTGATGAAACAAGAATATCAACAGTCTCGTTTAAAGTCATCATTTCGTAAGTTCTATGGTCGTTACAATGACCTTGTCAGCAAATACAATCTATCATTAAGTCATATGCTACTGACGTTTTTCATACTAGTTTTAGGCCATTATTTACACACTGAATTGTCGACGGATTTTTCCGTTATTTACCGATCATGTCAAGGAGCACACCGGTCGGCAGGGGATGCTCACTCCTCCATGGCACCTGATCCCACCTCTGTGTTTGGAGGTCCGTGTTTCCTCTACTCTCCGTGTTTGCTCTGCGCCCGATTTGTATTGTTTTAATGAACTTTGAGCTTGAATACTGTTCGTTATCTCCATATTTCATTTTGAAAGGCCCTTCGAAAGAGCACCAACAATTATGACCCTTTGACCTTGTCCTTGGAGTTATTTTTGAAAAACTTTAACCTCGCCTATATGTTTTGAATGGTGGGAGCTAGGGCTTTCATATTATACAAGTGTATTCCTTGTGACAAGACCTTCAATTGGGTACCATTAATTTTGATCCTTTGACCTTGACCTCAGGGTTTGCCCTACATTTGAAAAACTTTAACCTTAATCATACCTATTGAACGGTTGGTGCTAGGACTTTTACATCCCACGGGTGTTTTTTCTGTGACAGGATCTTTCTTTGGGTACCAACATTTTAATCTTTTTACTTTGACCATGGAGTTTGACTTACGTTTAAGAAATTTTCACTTTTACCAAAATTAATTGTATGTTGTTTTACATCCCGTTCGAGAATTTTTCACTCATAAAGAAACGTCACCAAATTTTGACCTTTACTCGGCACTCAGGGCCATTGAGCAGTGAGGGTTCTTTATCGTGCCAACGCCTACCGTGACACGGGGCCTCGGTTTTTAAAGTCTCATCCGAAGGACCCGCAACTTTCACTTCAAAGTGCCGAACGCTTGGTGAAGGAACAATTGCTACCTATTTTTGTCGACTTAGGTCAGTCGTGGCCCTGATTCGAATAAACGACCTTCCGATCACGGAGCGAGCACTCTACCGACTGATCTACCATGACGGTCTCACCAAAATTAACGATGCTATACGGGGGCATCATTGTTTCACAAACACATCTTGTATCTAACAGAAATTTACCGGACAATTTCTCAGAGATTGCTCTATGAAAGATTCTGACAATGTACTTTAGGAGTGACAAAGCGTGAGGGTTTTAATTTTTTTCCAAGAATCCATATGGTTGCCAAGTTAGAGCACATTCTAATTTTAGGGTACCTTTTTCGTCCCCGGAAAGGACAAAAAGTGAAGTGCACTTAAGTGGGACATATAGAAATTATATTGTAGATGTGAAATACGAATTTGGAAACAGCAGGTTTTTAAAATATGGAAAATGTTTAGAAATTAAGTTTTAAATTTTTTTGCACAATAAATGTTCAGCTGTGTATTTTTAGCAGACTTAAGCTTCTATATGTTACTCTGTTTAAGTTCGAAACTAATATCATAATCTTAAAGTGGATTGATTGATGATTAGTTTTGGTTAAACTTCACATACTAGGCGAAAATAAGACAGGGGAAAATAACCCTGTATACAGTATAAATAACTTAAGCTGTCCATAAGAGCTTTAAACCCGATTCAGGAGGAATTCTTAAAGATTTCTTCATTTAAAATCTGAAACTAAGAAGGTTTCAACATATATATTTTTTTCAATAAACTTATTTGAGGTAAGTGAAATGTCAAACATCACAGGAACTGCGACCGAGACCTTTAATGATTAGTTATAGGCCAGACATCTTCCAGGAATTGACATTTGGAAGATAATGCTATTGAGTGATGTGTTAAGTATCCGTTCACACTTTTTTCTAAGTGCTTTAATGATAGATGTAACTAATGCTGAAATATGAAGATAACGAATAGTAATCAAGCTCAAAAATTTCATTAAAACAATAATTTGGAGAAGAGCAAACACGGACCTCTAAAACGTATGAAACATTCAAACTCTAGATCTGTGAAAAAAATCACGAATTTGATGACATCTTGACAAATTGTGATAATACCACTCAAATTATTTTTCCAAAGTAAATAATTTCAATGCCAAAGTGCAATTTAAATGGTTGCAGGAAGTGGGAACATGCACCCCGAGGAAAACAAAATCATATTAAGGAGGCTGGGGGGTCAACAAATCAACCATCAGATGTAAATTATTTTTTTTAGATATAATATCTTAAACTGTCAACTATCACTTGGCAAAGAAAAAATTCATACATTTTAGTTTTAAAATTTGATCATTTTTGTATATCTTTATATAGAGCTCTTCTTCTAAAGGAGATCAATATAGTCTAAAAATGGCCACGACCACCCAGCCCTCTTAAAAAAATTACTGTCGAGAAAAATAAGAAAGAAAGGTATAGGAAATTACGGAAGCCCATTTAGGACCTATCAAAAATATTTTTGAATTCGATATAACGAATTGTCGAATTTGTTATAACGAATTTAATTCGTTATAACAGTTTCTTTGAATTTGTTATAACGAATTTAATCTGTTATAACAAATTTGTTGAATTCGTTATAACGAATTCAAAAATTTGTTATAACGAATTAAAATTCGTAAATTCTTTATAACGAATTCTGAAACTTGTTATAACGAATTAAATTTGTTAAAACGAATTCTTTAATTTGTTATAACAATTTAAATTCGTTAAAATGAATTCGTCAAATCGTTATATCGAATTCATACATATTTTTCTATAGGCCTTGATTGTTGAATTTGATTTAACGAATTTAATTCGTTGTAAGAAATTTTTGAATTTGTCATAACGAATTAAATTTGTTATAGCAAATTTTAGAATTTGTTTAAACGAATTTAATTCGTTATAAAAAAAATTTACGATTCGTTGTATCGAATTCAAAAATATTTTTTGATGGGTCCTAAATGGGCTTCCGTAGAAAATCAATGACAAAAGGAAAATCGTTATTGTGGAATCATTTTAATTAACAGAGTCCACTTTTGTGGATGCTCGTGGAGTCGAACGTCTTAAAGTTATCACCCATTTGTTGAGGTTGAAGATTTGTGGGTAAGGGGTGCCCAGAACTCTAATATAAAATAAAAATATATTCATTCTCTAGTATTCAACATTAAAATGTTTGAAAACAATTTTAAGACATTTATTTTTTAATCATTACAAACCATTCCAAACCACATTATAAGTGTCAATGTTTATGGGCTTAGTTGAAAACGTAGATGTCCACATTACTTATTTGATTTAAAAATTACTTTATTTGTCTGGAACGAGAACTAAGCTGAAAATTAAATTGATGGATACACTGTTGTATGTAAATATCAGGGGTCCTGGGTCCACGCGTTGCTATGGGGCCCATGAAAAAATTTAAGTTTATTTTTTAAGGGATGACCTCATCAACGTCTTCAGGGGAAATTACACATATTAATTGTTTTTCTTTTCTCTCGACCAACTATATTAAGCCTTTTGGTTAACAAAACAACCTGTACAATGTTCAGTGAGGTGTCAACTTTCTGTTTACTGTTTATGTCAACTTATGAAAGCCACAATTTTATTGGTACGTCTGAATGAGAAACAAATGGAGTTTGTCAAGGGCCCCAAGGCCACGAGCGGATTCAGAATCCCTGAGGTTGTGAGGACAGTAAATAAAATGTGTGATTAGTCATCATGTACTAGTGAATAAAAATACTTATTTTGCAATCAAGGAAATATTTGCAAAAACATATTTTTGTATAACGCCACAAATAATGATTAATTGTTGGTGAAAATGGGCGGAGAAAAAATTATGAATACAATTTTACAATTGGAATCGTTAATATTCCCACTGCAAATATGAACAAGAGGCCCATGGGCCACATCGCTCATC